GGCGCCGCGCGCGCCGCCCGCGCCGCCTCGGGCTCCCAGCCTGCGGCCACTCGCGGTCAGTCCAGCGCGTGCGGGCGACGCTGCCGCCGCGCACGTGCGGGCTACGTACAGAAGCTGTGGTGCATCAGTCGGCAGTGCTCGGCGTAGTAGGTGTTGTCGAACCAGGGCGCGCTCTGCAGCAGCTGCAGGCGGTAGCAGCCGCGCGGCAGCCGCAGCGAGCAGCGCAGCCCCGCTTGCCCGCCCAGTTGGACGCAGTCGTCCGAAATGTTTATGGCTGGCTGCAAATACGTCATCGCCGCGTGTTAATTAGCCGTGTACCGTCGTAGAAACTGAAGTGCGGCATCCAACGTACCTCGTCGTCGGTGGAATTGCTGATAGTTATGGAGTAACTGTCGACGGGCATGTGCCCCTGGTACAAGTGGAATGTCGGAGGGCTGGAACGCAATACGGGCACCGACATTAATTTGATTACCGGCAGGCAACCTTGACATAATGTTCGTATTTAGGGCGCGTTCAAATTTGCCGCTGTTAAACGCGCTGCAGCCGCGCGGTGGCCGTGCGACAGTCGCGCTGCGGTCGCGGTTAGCGAGGTGTACATATTAATTTTTCAAATTAACCACGGCGGATGAAAATAAATTGAAAAATTTATAGAGAATGTAAAACAACACCCTGCAATATGGGATAGCAGTTCTGCCAGTTATTCCAATCGACTGGATAAAAAAGGCATGGAAATATAGATCCCACTTCAGTAGCGCGGCAGACGCGCGGATGAAGCGTTTCTACCAGCGGCTAATTTGAACGCGCCCTTACGGCTTACTTGCACAAAGCTCGAGATAATCATGCGAAGTAAAGCATTGTGTCCCACACTATACTAATATTTCAAAAATTGTCTGGAGTACCTGCATGTTTTATCTAGAACTCTATCTTTAAAAAAGTGTCAGAACAGGGATTACATATATGTATATATTTCGTGTGTTCTTACGTTTTGAGACAAACTTTGCCTTTCAAACGAAAATAATACTGTTAACCGACTAAAAAAAATAAGGTTCCCAATTCGGCTGTATTTTTTTAACGTATACTTTTTGTTGGCAAGAGGGTACATGCGTATCGGTCCCAGTTAAATGTGAAGAAAATATTCGACCTCTAAGGGTGGCAAAGGGGATGAAACCAGTTTCGCGCATTTCCGGTAACCGATTTCAATAAAACTCGGCAAATAGGTAGATGCATCGACATCAGGGGGTCTACTCTCGATCTCCGTCCGACATCCGTCCGAAACAATTACTGTCAAATAAGCCAAATTACTGCCAATAAAATACTTGACCAAATGAAAAGACGCGTGATGCGAATGAAGCTTCATACTGGATACTTGTCTTTTAATTTCGTCGAATATTACTTATTTGACAATAATTGTTTCGGACGGATGTCGGACGGAGATCAAGAGTAGACCCCCAGAGCCTAGTATTTTCACGAAGTTTGAGGACGTTTTTTTATTTATAAAAAAATTACAGTTATCATTTTGGAAGTTGAAACGATTGTTTTCTATTTGTATATATTTTTAAATTAATTTCTATTACTTTTCTCATCTTGAAGAGAAACAAAATATACACGCGCGATTTTAATTTCGCTACGTACCTATACCGGGAAAAAGAATCAATGGAGATTTTCCATGACATAAAATAGTTTTAAAGTAAACCGCAATTTCGTATACTACACCATAAAACGTTACAAGGAGACCGATTTTCTGAAAGATCGCCAAAGCAGTGATCGGTCGCGGTCTGTAAGCACGACTACGAACATGAAAATAATCAGAGAGCAACTTCGCCGCAATCCATATCGCAACCAGAAGAAACTCGCTGTGCAGACTAACATTTCGCGTGTTTCAGTCAGCAGAATAATGAAATACGATCTCAAGGTAAACGCCTACAGTCATAGGAAAGTTCACTTAGTAAGTGATCGCCTTTGTAAATTACGACGCGAACGTAGTCCGATGCTTCTTAAGAGACACGATGCGATAAGGAAACTCTTCACCGATGAAAAAATCTTCACGATCAAGGATAAGTTCAATCGACAGAAGAATAAAGTTTATACCAAATGCAGCAAAGATTCTTTTTCAGCACGATATGTTTCGCGTACCTATCACCCTGCGAGTGTGAGGGGATGGTGGGGAGTTAAGTTTTTTTTTGCCAACAAGACGTTAGGGTAAAAGCAAAAAATTATGATAGTGACATTTTAGAGACTGCGGTGAAACCCTTGTCTTAAACTTTATTTCACAACAAAGATTGGATTTTCCAGCAAGACTCAGCACAGGCCTATAATGCCGGGCGGTTCAGTTCTGGAGCATACTCTCCGGTCTGTCCCTTCTGAATAGAGGGACCACTCAAACCTGTGTTCGGCAGCCGGGAGTATCCGTGATAAACATCTCGTTCGCTACTCCCGCTGTCGCGCGTCGTATGGTTAATTGGAGAGTGGTAGAAGATGCGGAGACCCTGTCAGACCATTTGTATATTCGCTTCGAGGTCTCCGCGATCTCCGAACATTCGTCTCCACCCAGAGCGCTGAGTCGCTTTCCAAGCTGGGCTCGAAGTCGGCTAGACCGGGAGATGGTCACGGAAGCTGCTGTGGTGCAGCGTTGGCTCTCATGGAGTGGCAGAGGGCGCCACTGTTGACTATTTGATGGGCCGACTGTACACCGTCCTGACTGCAGTGTGCGACGCCGCCATGCCCCGGGTGCGGCGACGTCCTCTCCGGCGCCAGGTCTACTGGTGGACGGAGGAGATTGCTGAACTCCGGGCAGTCTGCATTACTGCTCGGACAGCTTATCCGAGCCGGCGTCGTCACAGCCATGCACCGGACGTGGAGAGCCAGCTGTGGGAGATCTACCGTCTGAAGAAGTCCCTGCAGCTGACATTAAGACATGTCAAAACCCGTGACAGGGATGAAATCCTGGCCGGGTTAGATCGGGATCCAGTCGTCCGTACCGTACGGCGCGGAAGAGATTACGGAGACTATGGCTCCTGATCTCCTCTGAAGGGTAGAAAGGGATCTGTTCCCAGACCACCCTGGGCACTTACCCCCGGTGATGACTCCACCCTCTTCACCCGAAGAAATCCTCCCGCAGGTCACTCCCGTGACCGAAGGAGAAATGGGAGCGGCTGTGCCGGCTTAAGGGCAAAAAGACCGCACTGGGAACTGACGACGGGAGGAGTGGTTTCGGAGACTGTTCGACGCGTGCCTACGTAGTGGGCAATTCCCGAAACAGTGGAAGCAGGGCCGACTGTGCTTGCTGCAGGAGGGTCGTCCGATTGACTCGCCCTCTGCCCTAGGCCCATTGTGCTGTTGGGCGAGACGGCCAAGCTCTTCAAGAGAATCCTCGTTAACCGTCTCGTCAGACATCTTGAAAAAGTGGGGCCGGGTCTAACAGAGCCTCAGTACGGTTTTAGGGCGGGGCGATCCACAATCGATGCTCTAGATCAGGGGTTCCCAAACTTATTTTGTGTACTGCCCACTTTGAGAACAAATTATTTAGCGCCCTCATTTTTCCACCTACTTAAAAACCACTACAACTTCAGATTAAATTATTTATTTTGAGCTATATTAGCGGAGATTAAACATTCATTCTAAACGAGACTTTGACTATAACCCGCAAGAGTTAACTTGAGACCTGAGCGCAGTAGGTAGTACACAACGGCGCTCAAGTCTGAAGTTAACTCTTACTGGCTACACCTGCCAACGAGAATGATGATTAAAACGCAACTTTGTAGTATTCAGACAGAGTATTTTTTATTCAAAATAAAACAAACAAAATCGATTCTAATATAAAAACTAATGTGAAGGATGAATCTGATGCTGTTTAATAAGTTTGTTGATATCAGGTTCCAATTTACTCAAGAACGGCCGCAAGTCACCACGTTCGGTAACATGCAAACGATTTCTGTTTTTACTAAAACCACGCACTAACACAACAAGCACTAAAACCACGTTCACACAAATATGACGATGGGAATGCTATCAAGAATCGTTGAACGATTGACTACAATCCAGGGTACAATTGCGGGATCGGTTTTTGTAGCCGAAATTCTTGGTAGCCATTTTTGAACTTGATTTTTATTTCCTCGTTCGTTGTCAATTCTATAAGTTCTTCTTCCAGCTGAGGTGATACTGCTGTGTTGACATTCGAAAACGGATCCAACACCCAGTCTGGTATTCCTAAGTTCAAAATGTCCTGGTATCGTTCGGTGATGTCAATGCGGAGGTTTTCCAAATGTTGGCAGTGATCAAACAAGTCGTCGTTACTGCAGGATACTGATAAATTCGGAAAATTGTGAAACTCACGTCTGCCCATATTCTTTTGTGGAGAAGCAGTTTGCAGTTTAGTTTCCAAGAACTCTATCACAGAGTCAAACAGGTTGTAAAATCGAGTCAGACAATTGCCTCTTGATAGCCAACGAACTTCAGTATGAAACAACAAACGGTTGAAATCTTTGTCATTAGTAAAACAAAGCTGATGAAATAATCTATCATTCAAAGAGCTTTTACGGATTTTATTGACTGCTTTGATGACATATTGCAGTGATTGAAATAGTCGTTCACTCAAATTTCTAGCAACCAAATGTTGTCTATGAATAACGCAGTGTACAGCAAGGACATCTGAAATTTTATGTTTTAAGTACGCTATGAAGCCTTTATGGCACCCTGTCATAGCCGGAGCGCCATCTGTAGCAACTGATATAATATTTTTCAAAGGAATCTCATTCTTATTACAAAACTTTTCCAATGTATTGAATATGGTTTCGCCGTTTGTATCGGTCTCTAAATTTGTAGCAAACAATAGTTCTTCACATATTTTCTCACCTTTAATAAACCTCACGTAAGACAGCAACAATGTTTCATTAGTTGGAAAAGTGGATCGAGCTGACTTGAGAATTGACTAGTCCTCAGATGATTGCACAATGATTCTTCAATGTTTTCAGCCATTTCATCAATTCGTCTTTCCACAGAATTATTACTCAAACGAATTTTTCGGATAATGTTTGCGGCCGGTTTATGAAGCACAGTAGTTATTACTTCCTTTATTGCTAGCAAAATTAACTCTTCTCCGATTGTGTGGCTTGCCTTTTTGAGCAATTAACAAAGAGATATTGTACGAAGCTCGAAGTCCGTCGTCATATTGCTTAGCAGCCGCCGAAAAGAATTTTGCTACACTTGGCTGAGTATTATGCTTCTTCTCTAAGTCTTGAAACTATGCTACATTCTTGTCATTCTTATCTGGGTGCATTTTATTCAAATGATCTTGCAGTCTTGAAGGCTTCACTGCTTCATTCGAAAATGTTTTTAGACATAGAAGGCACAAAGACGACTATGGGTTTGAGGGATTTTCAATGAATCCGAATTTAATACATTCCGCACAGTATTGCCGTCACCTCTTTTTTACTTC